ATAAGCTATGTGATTAAACAATTGAATGTATTTATACCTGTTACTCGTAGAGTAAAAGGCATATTGTATTCGTTTAACAAGAAAGAAAGCAAACTTCGGCAAGCCGAAGTTCATATACCCTTGCAGCTATTGCATGAATTAAATACTTTTGAAAACATTTAAATTATGTTTTACTTCAGTATATACTGAAAAACAGTGAAGCTATGATGATTTGCAGCTCAATTATTAGATAGTTATTTTATATATTTTTATTAGTTCTATGGGAGCTATATGATATAGACGTCCGATTTTGATAAAATTTAAACCATAATTCTGAAATAATTAAACATTGCCATATGTCGAAGAACTAAACAAAAAATTAAAAAACAGAAAAGTTATAATTTTTTTCATTTATTTCTCCGATTGTTCCTATGGGAGCTATATGATATAGTCGTCCGACTTTGATGAAATTTAAACCGTAAATCGAAAATATTTAACCATTACTAAATGTCGAAGAACTAAACAAAACATTAAAAAACAGAAAAGTTTTAATTTTTTTCATTTATTTTTCCGATTGTTCCTATGGGAGCTATATGCTATAGTCGTCCGATTTTGATGAAATTTAAACCGTAAATCGGAAATATTTAACCATTACTAAATGTCGAAGAACTAAACAAAAAATTAAAAAACAGCAAAGTTATAATTTTTTTCCTTTATTTTTCCGATTGTTCCTATGGGAGCTATATGCTATAGTCGTCCGATCCGGCTCGTTCCGACTTATATACTACCTGCAATAGAAAGACAACTTTTGGGAAAGTTTCATGCAGATAGCTTTATAACTGAGAGACTAGTTTGCACAGAAACGGACGGACAGACGGACATGGCTAGATCGACTCGCCTAGTGATGCTGATCAAGAATATATATACTTTATAGGGTCGGAGATGTCTCCTTCACTGCGTTGCAAACTTCTGACTGAAATTATAATACCCTCTGCAAGGGTATAAAAATAAGGGAAGTGTTTTCGACCATAAAATGATATATATTCTTGATCAGGACCAATAACCGAATCGATCTAGCCATGACCGTCTGTGTGAACTTCGATATCTCGGAAACTAGAAAAAGTTAAGATTTGGGCTCCGCATGCGGATTTAATTAGTGCCTTCGCATTGCAAGTTTATTTTAAAGTGAAAGTATATACTGTCACTCTAAGACATGTACGACCGTAGGTGTTGGACACTGTGTGTGTCATATATAGAACAATTGCATCCAATATAATTTTATTGATATTGAATATAACTTTTAATTTTTAAAGCTTTCAAAATTTAAACTCCTTCGTCGGGATTCCTGGGAATTTTTTTTTTAATCTTCAGCATCTGTTTCCACATCACTACGACTGAACACCGAAATTCTTGGATTTGCCTTGTAAAAACCAGCTCCAGCTTGAAATTGATCCATTTTTGGTCTTAATCCGAAAATAAAGGTTTGTTTCCGAAAGGCTATATCGAAAAAGATAATAGGATGATTGGTTTTACTTGGGCTATAAGCTACAAGCTACTCTCACTGCTGGTTGAACTTCGCCCGTTCGTCAAAGTACCTATTAAAACCCTTTGATGATGATATGATATCGTTTTCCAATTTATAATAAAATTAAAAACGTATTTCTGAATTATAAAACCATTTCCTTGTCCAAAAGAATTAAACAAAACAATTGAAAACTAGAGAAGTAACAAATTGTTTTAAATTTATTTTTTTAAATACTCCGATTATTTCCAAGTAAGCTATATGATATAGTCGTCCGATTTTAATCATATTTAAATCGTTATTTCAAAATAAAAAACCATCACTAAATATCGACGAACTATTAAAAAAATTAAAAGCAGCAAATATTGTTTTTCTTTTTTTCTCGATTGTTCCTATATGCTATGGTAACACGATCCGGCTCGTTCCGACTTATATACTACCTGCAATAGAAAGACAACTTTTGGTAAAGTTTCATGCAGATAGCTTTATAACTGAGAGACTAGTTTGCACAGAAACGGACGGACAGACGGACGGACATAAAGATCGACTCGCCTAGTGATGCTGATCAAGAATATATATATTTTATAGGGTCGGAGATGTCTCCTTCACTGCGTTGCAAACTTCTGACTGAAATTACAATACCCTCTGCAAGGGTATAATTATATAAAACAATTAATCTTTAAACTCCATTGATCGTTTTTTGAGCACTCCATTGACAAGTCAACCATTTATTTATTTAACCTTTTGTGTAGCCATTATGAGTAATTACCTTCCTCCAATCACCGAGCGTTTAATAAATCTCAAAGGGGCGTTCTTAAGCTCCAGCAAACCAGCGACTTACTCTTAATTGCAGCTAGTTTTTGTGATTATTATAGTGGGTATCTGGAAATAACCTGGGTATGCACAACTAGATTGTGTTGCGCTAGAAATTTACTTCCCATTTTGTATTTAAATTATGATTTTTAAGTCGAAAGACTAATTTTAAGTGTATTCCCGGTATATCCCGGATTTTGAATGAAGACCATAGACAAGTTTTCTTTTTTGCCAAGTGTATTTTTGTAAGTGTCTTTGTGTTTACAAATAATAGTGCCGGACGAGAAGAGCAGGGACAAGATCCAATAGAGTGGTGGGATGGTTTAAGTTTCGGTGGTGCAGTTCAGTAGTTGACTCCAGTATCCTCCTTGTTGGACATCTGTTTTCGAACTTTCAAGTGCTTGCCATCTGGAATACAAAATATAAAAATATAATGTATTTAAATAAATAATTGCTTGGTTACTACTCACTATTTGTCCAGTCGATAATTGATTGAGAACTGAACTGCACTGCAGGATACGGTTGATCCTCCACTCAACTTGTTTGCCATTCCGTTTAAGTGTTTAACAGGGAATTTGAAGTTTACGTTCTCGAGCCAGAAGAAAATATCAATATCATTCAGTCAGCAAGCTTTGAAATTTAATTCATATATTTAACATAGCAAGAAAAAGTTGCGTTAATATTATTTACTTACTCTATTGTTAACCACGTGTTTTGTCCAATCTCGTTTTATGTCCTTGCAAGCATTTGTTTGTTGGGTTTTGTTTATTAAGTAAGTGTTTTTTTCAAAAATGTTATTTAACACTTTATGCTTAAAACTAAATTTGTTTTTTTTTGTATTGTTCAGAAGGCAATTTCCTGTGTGTTATTTCCCCGACATGGTTGTGTATACTGAACTCTGTAGGGACTGATGGGTGTAAGTAGAACTCGAAATTAAAAGCATGGATAGTTTGATCAAGAAAAAGGGAACAAATTTGAAATTTTCAAAAAATGAAAAGCCGATTGGATCAGAATATGATGAGGACATGATTAGTCCATGTAGAATTTTCGAAGTCCTTTTATATGAAACCCATATCAATAAATACACTAAATTTGCTTTTACATAACTATATAACAAGAAAGGGAACAGGCTTAAAATGCGATTCTGAAACTTCTTCAAACCCTATGGTATCTCCTAGTCGAGTCTACCCAACTCCCAAGGATAGCCACCTGTTGCTGCTGACTGGATGATATTGTTGTAATATTGGGCAGAGCCCCGGGACAGTCTTTATTTTCTTGGGTTTCGCCTCTTGTTTTCCCGCTCTCTGGTTGAGGCTGCCACTTAATTTATTTGTCACCGAAATTTAAACCGTAATTCTGAAATACTTAATCATTACTATATGTCGAAGAACTAAAAAAAAAAATTGAAAAACAGCTAAGTAATAATTTTTTTTGTATTTTTTTCCCCGATTGTTCCAATGGAAGCTATATGATATAGTCGTCCGATTTTGATGAAATTTAAACCGTAATTTTGAAATGTTTAACCACCACTCTATTGGATCTTGTCCCTGCTCTTCTCGTCCGGCACTATTATTTGTAAACACAAAGACACTTACAAAAATACACTTGGCAAAAAAGAAAACTTGTCTATGGTCTTCATTCAAAATCCGGGATATACCGGGAATACACTTAAAATTAGTCTTTCGACTTAAAAATCATAATTTAAATACAAAATGGGAAGTAAATTTCTAGCGCAACACAATCTAGTTGTGCATACCCAGCTTATTTCCAGATACCCACTATAATAATCACAAAAACTAGCTGCAATTAAGAGTAAGTCGCTGGTTTGCTGGAGCTTAAGAACGCCCCTTTGAGATTTATTAAACGCTCGGTGATTGGAGGAAGGTAATTACTCATAATGGCTACACAAAAGGTTAAATAAATAAATGGTTGACTTGTCAATGGAGTGCTCAAAAAACGATCAATGGAGTTTAAAGATTAATTGTTTTATATAATTATACCCTTGCAGAGGGTATTGTAATTTCAGTCAGAAGTTTGCAACGCAGTGAAGGAGACATCTCCGACCCTATAAAATATATATATTCTTGATCAGCATCACTAGGCGAGTCGATCTTTATGTCTGTCCGTCTGTCCGTCCGTCTGTCCGTCCGTTTCTACGCAAACTAGTCTCTCAGTTTTAAAGCTATCTGCATGAAACTTTCCCAAAAGTTGTCTTTCTATTGCAGGTAGTATATAAGTCGGAACGAGCCGGATCGGACGACTATAGCATATAGCTCCCATAGGAACAATCGAAAAAATAAATAAAAAAAAATTATAACTTTGCTGTTTTTAAATTTTTCTATTAGTTCTTCGACACGTAGTAATGGTTAAATACTTCAGAATTACGGTTAAAATTTCATCAAAATCGGACGACTATATCATATAGCTCCCAAGGAACAATAAAAATATATAAAATAACTAACAAATAATTGAGCTGCAAATCATCATAGCTGCAATGTTTTTCAGCATATACTCAAGTAAATCATCATTTAAATGTTTTTAAAAGTATTTAATTCATGCAATAGCTGCAAGGGGATATGAACTTCGGCTTGCCGAAGTTTGCTTTCTTTCTTGTTTTATATATTATATCGATTTCAATTGACTTTGTTTCGATTTTTTATTTTCTGATAATTGCAAGTGTTTGCAATGGAGTTCAATTGATCACTGGCTTTACTATTAATATGTATTACTAAGCTATTTTTAGATTTTTGCGTATATGTTTTAAAACATTGAAGCCATGATTATTTTCCGGTGAATTATTAATATATCGATGTTCGATAATAATATTATTACATTTAAATTAAACTTGAAATGCAATTGTCTGTTACTTATTTCAGAAAAATGTGATAGCTGAATCTAACATACAAATACTCCAAAATAACAATATTGTTTTTGCCTTAACAAACTAAAACAAATTAGTATTTAAGAAATTAGGCTATAAATCGTTACAATAATAACTTAAAACTGTAGCTGTAGCTATTCAGTTACATGTTCATAAGAATAATTTTAGTTAAACATTATTACATAGAATGGTTTGAGCTACAATGTTTAAGATTCTTGGATGACACAGATGACAGCATTTTTTGTAATTCACTTTTTATAAACTTTAAACAGAATTTTACTGCAGATTTTATCATTTGTATCAACTTTAGTTAACATGATGAATACTTTTAGTTGAGTTTTGTGTTATAACCAAAGTCTTTCAATGTTCTAATTTATTATTTCACTTATTTTAAGTCTCTTGAATTACTCTAATGTAATGGTAACTTCAAAGATGCTGATTATAACACCTTTTTTTATTATAATTATTATGGCCTTATTATAACTTAATTCTGGCATTATGATATATTTAATTCTTACCCCAAACGCACATTTAATACTTATACCAAACACTCAAAAGCAAGTCCATAGTGGTAATACCGGTTAAGTCAAAATAACGTGATTAAGTCTATTTTATGGATGTCTCACAAAAACAAAATACCACAATTTTCGTGTTACGTTTTTAATTATTTATTTGCCTAAGAGAGATAAGATATACATTTGTAGAGTATCAAGTGACTGAATCGTTATTGGAAATTCATTTAAATTTCTTTAAAGGACTTACTTTTCAAAGTCTTTCAACTATTTAAAGTGCAGAAACAGAATAATTGTATAATACAAGTAAGCAGACATGAGTGTCAAAATATAAAAAATTTTCAATAAAAAAGCTGTCGATAAAAAATACACCAGCTATAGACTTTTTTCCCCTTGGTTTATTGAAAACAAAGATATAAAATTGAAATTAATAACGCTAGAAAAACTGAAATAAAAAGTAAATCACAGCATATTGCTCCCCATATAAGTAATTTTAGTTTATACGTAAGAAATAAATTTTTTTGGTAAGGCGAACCACGACAGTTAACTGGAACATCTTCTATTTTCGGCGTATGATGTTTCATTTTACAACTGGATAATTAATTTTTAAATTAATTATTTTGTTAAGCCTTCTCTTTTTGGAAGATGTCTTCAAACACGCGTCTGTCTGTTAAAAAAATACAAGTAAAAAGGGGTCTTTAACTTTTTACATATTTTACTCACCTTTCAGTACCGAAATTATTTGTATTTAACTTGTTTTGTTAAGCTTATTCATTGGCAAGGCACTCAAACAAGCAGCTTTTTAGTTTCCGTCTTTCTGTGAACAAACATTACGAATAAAAAGGGGTCTAAGAGTTTTTTTTAAACCATTTTTTCTTTTTGAATACTTAACTTATTAGCTACTATAAACGACTCCTTATTTTCTTTAAATGTAAGAATATCAAATTTAAATAAAAATTGTTTTTGAATACATTTGTAAATTTATATTTTTGATCACTTCTATATAAAGTATGTTATTAATATAAAAAAGTAATTGTTAATTGTTGTTAATTTTTAATATATATTAATATTTACAAGTATTAAAAATAAATGGCTAATAAAATTGTTTCACTTTCATTGACTTTCTAATTTTCAACAGTGAATTTTGTAGCGTTGGCTATGATTGCTGGTATGGTATGCTTATATTGATGATGAAGTATGTTTATTTAATTGATATTGAATTAGAAATATTTGTGGGCTTATGACATGTTAATCACTTATTGACAAAATGTTCACTTATATTTTCAACACTTTTTGAAAAAGTATAGGCAAGTATTTAGCAGTATATAAATTACAGTTGTGCTTCAGTCGAGTCTCTGGAACAGTTTAAAAACGCTGCTGATGTAAACAGAGTTTTGGGCTTCAGTTGAGCCAAAGCTATATACGGCTTGATTATGTGCATGCGATGTGTATTTATTTACATTCATAAATATGTACATATGTGTATATGTTCGGGCGCAAGCATTTCACAAGGAGTGGGCATTCTCAAACTACGTCTCAAAAATCAAGAAATGCGCATACAGCATTAAAAATATACACTTGGAAAAATATACTTTTCACAGAGGACAACAAAAAAGAGATGCAACCTTTTATTAAAAATAATTGTAATACTAACGTAAATAAGTGCTCGTAAAGCGGCACCCAATAACACTGTTATTAATTTAATATTTTACTTTAAATGTTGTCCAGTGTAATATTGTTGCTTTGTGTATTTATTACACTGAATCAGGGAGTTCAACTGCACCGGATAACAAGGTTTGATTTAATCGATTTCAATTTGTAAGCCAGTGTAAATTGTGCTTTTCAATTTATTTTAGGAAAAACATTTAAATAAGTTATTAGAGCTCAAATTTATCCACGAAAATTATCTTAGCTTTTCAAAGCAAAACAATAAAAATACCTCTAAATTGATATATTTCATATTTTATCTTAAATTTTTAGTTTTGAATACCTTATAATTAAGAAAAACAAAATTGATTTTAAATCAAAAGAGTTCGTTTTAAATATTTATTTTTAACTCTTATCTTTGTAAAATATTATACCCATGTAAAAGGTATTATATCTTTGGTCATCCACAACTATACAGAACATTTATTTTTGATCATGATCAAGGTCTGGTGAGTCAATATAGACATGTTCGTCCGTTTCTATGTGATTTGCTCGCTCAGTTTCTTATCCGTAGGCAGCTCAAAAAAAATGCGCATAAAGTATATAGTTTATTCACTTCAAAATATGTTGTTGTAAATTTAAACTAAACTGAATTGATTCATCTGGTCATGCCGATCTTGAATTTAACCCTTCTAGGGCTGTTAATTATTTTCTACCATCGATACTTTGCTCCATATTTATTTTTTACAGCTTTAAGATGGTTTGAATTAACTCTTATTGATTGAGAACAACCTTTTGAAAACTAAATATGTTATTTTGCAAGAAAATTTGCTTTCAAAAGCATTGGGATGAATTTTGTCACTATGGACTGCTAGTACTTGTAATGACGATGGGCACAAAGACCGTGTGCAGTGGAGACTACTTTACAAAACCGCAGAATAGAAAATCATATGCATATGATGCATGTGATTTTTATTTGGTGCTCTTGGGGTCAGTTTGGTAAAAAGCACACTTTTTTAGCACAGTTTAAATTTTGTTGAAAATACTCGTCAAATAAAATCTAATTTGATTGGATCCGATGCTCCGTTCAAAAGTAATTTATATATATTTCATGCATATTTCAAAATAACATTTTTGAGACTCTGTCAGTTTCAATAAATATTAAAGACTTGGGAGAGTCGATCCAGCCTGTCCGTCTGTTTTTCAACCCGTTTCTCTGCATGCTAGCATGCTATCTGTATGAAACTTTTCCAAAAGTTATTTTAGTATATAAGTCGGATCGAACCGGATCGGACGAATATAGCTTATAGCTCCCATAGGAACAATCGGAAACAAAAAAAAATCATAACATTGCTGTTTTTAATTTAATTTTATTTCTTCAAAATATAGTCATGGTAATTTATTCCAAAACTACGGTTTAAGATTGGTTTTACGGTTTAATCTTTTAAATAATCTGTAGTTTTTGCAAAAGTTCCCAGGGTATATGAACTTCGGTTTGACGAAGTTTGCTTTCTTTCTTGTTTAAAAAAAAAACGAAAAGCGAAAGCATATAGCTGCCATAGGAACGATCGAATAGTTGAGCCGAATATCATCAAAACTTCAAAGTTTTTAAGCATATACGCATATATTAAAAATTTAGATGTTATACAGAATATTTTACTTTTAATAGCTGCAAGGGTATATAGACTTCGGCTATCCGAAGTTTGCTTCCTTTCTTGTTTAATGTGTTATAAGAATTTATATAGATTAAAATCTCCCAAATCAATCAAATGATCCCTGTAATTGCAGACAAATTAAGTTTATAATTAATATGTCATACGCAAGGGGATTTAAGAAAAGCTTACAAAAATAGATAAGGCATGTAAGGAAACTTTTACACTTTTAAATTCTATTTCATTGGGTAATCAGTTTGAATTATCTCCGATCAGTCTTACTGTTGTTAACAGCAATAAGCCCCCCACCTCCCTTACGAGAAATGCGATCAATTATATAAGTGTTAAAGTCTGCGAGCAGCCTAGGTAACTTCATATTAAGTCATTAATTTAAATTGTTAAACTGTAATGGGTATTTTTCCTGAATAAACTCCAAAACATCACTAGATGTGGTTTCGGGGGTAAATCGAGAAACAAATAATTATTTCCTATGGGGAACAAAATAAAGTTTCTTTTCTTTTTCATGGCAGTAAAGCTTTTGATCCACCGGACTGCTCTACAACTTCTCCATTGTCATAGGTGCCAAGTGCCGATGAAGACTCATTACAAGTTTTAAAATCGAATTGAGACAGTTTTCTTTTCAGAAACTGAAATTTAAGAAGCGTCCGTTCTAATGGGCTCGGTTTTTTACGCTTAGGTGACTCACTTAGCAGTTTTTTACTACTAAACTGTTCACTTACCGCGTTGAACCCTTCAGTGAGTTGTTTTAATACTCCAAAAAGATTCCTTAAACCGTCACGAGTCTGCCAATCATCTTATTTTCCATTTCCCTGCAAGACTCACAAGACCGCAGGTCAATGTAATCCCATACTCTGCACATTTTCCATGAATGATTGTATCGCAGAGCCAGCAAAAGATAAATATATCTGTTGATGTAGATGGAAGCTGGCAACCTTTCTTGGAACACGTAACACACATAATCATTAAACATTTGCTTAATTTATAGTAAGTAAAGTAAAAAATAATAAATAAATACCTCAATAAATTTGTCACTGGGATCAAAAGAAAAAACAAAAAATATAAAAAAAATCACAAGCTTGGTTAAAAGAAATACACCAGTACTTTCAGAAATTTATCAAAACCTGACAAAATCTAAGAGCACAACATAAACACAACCGATCAAAAGCGAAGCTTAATCGAAATCGGTTGATCGGACAAATTATAAAAATCAAGTATTGGGTTATTGTAAATTCGGTAAATTCCTTGAAAGTATTTTGTTTACAACTATGGATACAAGGGTTGGTTGGCCTTGAGGAGCTGCTGGAGGAGGGGGGGTTAATGACCGGGAATATGATTAGATGTTGGTTCAAAATAAAATATTATTATTATTAAAAGCTGAAAATAATTGAATTAAATAATTATTTAAATAATAATAAATTACTAATACTAAGTTGGTTCTTAATTAAATAATTAATAATAATAATTTATATATTGAGGACCAAAAAAAAAAATACATTTTTAGTATCAAATATTATTTATATATATTAGTGGCTGGATTTTTTTCTTTGTATTCAGGTGGATCTCTTGAGAGTTGTGGAATTGTAATGTTCATAAAACTTTCCTGGCTTGATCTTTTTACTTTTGGTTGCAGAACTTTTATTCAGTAGTATTTCATTTTGCTTTTATTGGTTTTTATAACCAATATAATATAATTTCAGTCAGGAGTTACCGATTCTTGATCAGCATCACTAGCCATGTCCGTCCGTCCCTCCGTTTCTACGCAAACTTGTCTTTCAGGGAACAATAAAAATATTTAAAAACAAGAAAGAAAGCAAACTTCGGCAAGCCGAAGTTCATATACCCTTGCAGCTATCGCAAGAATTAAATATTTTTGAAAACATTAATATTATGATTTACTTGTATATGTTTAAAAACATTGAAGCTATGACGATTTGCAGCTTAATTATTTGATTGTTCTTTTATATATTTTTATTATTTGTATGGGAGCTATATGATATAGTCGTTCGATTTTGATGAAATTTAAACCATAATTCTGAAATATTTAACCATTGCTATATGTCGAAGAACTAACAAAAAAATTAAAAAACAGCAAAGTTATAATTTTTTTCAATTATTTTTCCGATTGTTCCTATGGGAGCTATATGCTATAGTCGTCCGATTTTGATGAAATTTTAACCATAATTCTGAAATATTTAACCATTGCTATATGTCGAAGAACTAAACAAAAAATCAAAAAACAGCAAAGTTATAATTTTTTTTCAATTATTTTTCCGATTGTTCCTATGGGAGCTATATGATAAAGACGTCCGATTTTGATGAAATTTTAACCATAATTCTGAAATATTTAACCATTGCTTTATGTCGAAGAACAAAAAAAAATTAAAAAACAGCAAAGTTATAATTTTTTTTTAATTATTATTCCGATTGTTCCTATGGGAGCTCTATGCTATAGTCGTCCGATTTTTATGAAATTTAAACCATAATTCTGAAATATTTAACCATTGCTATATGTCGAAGAACTAAACAAAAAATTAAAAAACAGCAAAGTTATAATTTTTTTTCAATTATTTTTCCGATTGTTCCTATGGGAGCTATATGCTATAACCGTCCGATCCGGCTCGTTCCGACTTATATACTACCTGCAATAGAAAGACAACTTTTGGGAAAGTTTCATGCAGATAGCTTTAAAACTGAGAGACTAGTTTGCATATAAACGGACGGACAGACGGACAGACGGACGGACAGACGGACATGGCTAGATCGACTCTACTAGTGATGCTGATCAAGGGACCGCTGACGCTACTGATCCATCGCGTCCGGATCCACCTCCTCTGGATCCTTCTCCTCTCTCATAAACATTATTGCGCCTCTGCTTGCACTGGTTCTCTGATAAAAAATATGGTGTGGTACAAATAATCATCTAACTATTTACTCCAAAATTGCATATTTCATAAAATCATAATATAAAATACAATGCACTTAAAGTAGGTTTAATATTCGAACTATCAATTTAATGTAAAAAACTTTAAAAGTCATATTTAATTTAAATTTTAAATGGGACCTATTTCATTTTGATTCATTTTTTTTTTT